CTGTGCCCACCTTCAAAAACTTTGGGCCGGAAGCTTGCCCTTTAGAATTGACTCCTACAAGATCTTTGGATTCGTTGTGTGAGGAGAGGTAAAGAGACCAGCTTCTTGAGGAGCTTTCACGTTTCAGGGGAGCTAAATCGCCAAGTTGTATACGCCCCTTTTGGTGGAGGGGATTGGTCGCGAAACAAGCCCACAGAGCTAAGGGGCCCTTGCGCAATGCTCTGCGTGCCAATTTGAATTCTATGATCGTGCGTCACTTGCGGGATTCAAATTGCGAAGTACAAATCAAGAATTCAAACCCCAGAAAAGGATCTCGACTCTTGACTCAACCTTCACCTTTTGGTTAAGATTGATGAATTCGCTGTGGATTTGAGTGCGTATTTTTAATGCGTGATTGCGCTCGGATGCTAGCTGCGCCTTCAAAAACAAAATCAATCCGAATGGTGAATGTTTAACCCACCTCGAACAGCCCATGATCTGGTTTCGTGCACCCCGCGGCGCGTCGGTTGCTGTTGGCGCTGTCAAGGTTGCATGCTTGGGAGCGCAGTGTGCGTCTACTCTACGCCGATGTATCGACGCCGCGAATGCTGCGCTGATGCGTCTTTATGTGACGCAGCGCAACGAGCACGGTATAGTGATAATCATGATTGCATGAGTAACATTCAGATTCAAGATTCAGATTTAATTCTGCCCGAATGCGCATGCAGCAGGCACTTGAGCAGCAACTCGCTGACATTGACGCCATTGCATGGCGCGCCCCTCTCGCCTTACGCTTGCGTTCGCGCGCGTATGCCCCTGGCCCTTCTGTGCGCGCCGCGCGCGGGAGCCAACGAAGCTGCGCTGGGGCGCAGGTGTGCACGCCAGCAGCGGCGGTGAGTCGACGAGTGGCTGAGCTGCCTGCGCAACGCTTTGCAAGCTCGCGGTAGGTAGCGCGTGCGAGTCAGCAGCGAGCAGCATCAGCGCCAGGATCTCAGCTGATGACGGCTGCTCGCGGTCAATTGCGTGGATGCTCCTGAGTTTTTGGATTACCGCCGACATCCTTGACCCTCTTGCTTGCTACACTCTCCACCATCATCCACGGCTGGCTTCACTTCTGGACCAGCTCTACAAACCCCACGCGTGTTTCTCTCCTCTCCCTCTTCAACCTTTCTCTGCTCGCTCGGTCATCAGAGACGAGCTTCGCAGTCAGATACGCCCACCCTCTGCCACGACCCTTCGCTGGGCTCCCACGAACCTGCCGCTCTCTTCGTTCAGTAGTGCTCCACCTAAGACGCTGCCACGCTGGACCTCACGCTAGCTCAGGATCGCCCATCCGTTTCGCTCACGACGTCTCGCCGCACTGGTGACTACCATCAATCAGACTTTGCTTTCTAGCCTATCATCGACGTTCACGCTCCGCTGAGTGAACAGGGTGCAGAACGATATAGACGAAAGCTGCAGCGAAGCTGTTCGGATTCTCGCACCAACACCATCTCAGGTCGTTTGAGTCTGTCCATACACGAAGGGTGAGTACGGGCTCGAGCCCTGATACATCGACTGTGGGCTGTTGATTGAGGAGCATTTTGCTCTTTAAGCGTTGACTGGCGAGCTTCCCTGACACCCGTTTCTGCCGTTCAAGCACTTAGGCTCTAGTCAGACGTGACCGTTCTCCAGGATGGATCTCCGTGTCGGCGGCAAGTGAGTACATCAGCTGTTGGTAATCTCTTGACGACTTGACTGGCCTCTCTGCAGCTGCCATGAAGCGTCGAGAGGCGGATTGATGCAACACAGTGTCGCACGAGGATGTGGGAACATGCTGGACTTGCACAGCTGCTGACTTTCACGCCCTTGTACAACGCTTTGCCTGTCCATTTTTATCGATTGCCTTCTCGCCGCCACCTCGTAGGGTAAGCATGCACATGATGCTGGGATGAAGAACCCTGTCGAGACGAGTCACTAATCGCACTAGTCTGCCTTCGTAGTACCGCATCGGCAAGAAGATTGGCTCAGGTTCGTTCGGTGACATCTACCTTGGCATCAACATTATCAGCGGAGAGGAGGTGGCCATCAAGCTTGAAAGCATCAAGGCCAAGCACCCCCAACTCGAGTATGAAGCCAAGGTCTACAAGACACTGGCTGGAGGTGTTGGCGTGCCTTTCGTGAGATGGTACGGCCAGGAGTGCGACTACAACGCCATGGTCATCGACCTGCTGGGACCTTCTCTCGAAGATCTGTTCAACTTCTGCAACCGCAAATTTTCGCTCAAGACCGTCTTGCTGCTGGCAGATCAAATGGTGAGTGGAGTCAAAGCTTGCGTGCTGGGGTTTGCCCATAGGACGTAAGGATTACATGTTGTGTGCCGCCAATCTTCTGACATGCATACTTGCATTGCGCATTCAGATCTCGCGCATCGAGTACATCCACTCGAGGAACTTCATCCATCGCGACATCAAGCCAGACAACTTCTTGATGGGCATTGGCAAGCGGGGCAACCAAGTCAACGTCATTGACTTTGGATTGGCCAAGAAGTACCGCGACCCCAAGACTCATCTGCACATTCCCTACCGCGAGAACAAGAACTTGACGGGCACAGCTCGTTACACGTCGATCAACACTCACCTTGGTGTCGGTGAGTCATGAGAAAACTCGAAGCTGTGCAGAGTGACTCACAAGTCTGCCCTGCGCTAAGCTGACACTTCCATCACTCGCGCGAACATGCTATTGACCCACGTCGCCTCCCATTGCCAACGCAGAGCAATCTCGTCGTGATGATCTCGAGTCTTTGGGCTACGTCCTCATGTACTTCCTGCGAGGCTCTCTGCCCTGGCAGGGTCTCAAGGCCGCGACGAAGAAGCAGAAGTACGATCGCATCATGGAGAAGAAGATGACGACTCCGACCGAGCTACTGTGCCGCGGCTTCCCTTCGGAGATGGCAATCTACTTGAACTGCTGCAGATCTCTGCGCTTTGACGACAAGCCCGACTACTCTTACCTGCGCAAGCTGTTCCGCGATCTTTTCGTGCGCGAGGGCTTCCAGTACGATTACATTTTCGACTGGTCCATCCAGCAAAGGACTGCGGATGAGGCGCAGAAGATCTCTGAGCTGAAGAGCAGCGCTGCCACTGGTGCGCCCCAGCAGCAGCCCGTTCAGCAACTCCCTCGCCGCAAAGTCCTTGCTCAAGGAGAGGAAGATGAGGCTGGCCTCAGGGACACGACTCGAGGTGCCGCAGGTTCCTACCAGCAAGCTCAGCAAGGTTCCTCGAGTCGAGTTCGACGCGAGGGCCAAGGCCAGCCTCAGCAGTGGTACTGAGCGGTCAGCCGCGACTTGTGCAAAGAAGGTTCGGCTTAGCTGTTCGCACAGGATGTCGAGAAGACTTACTCCAGTGATGATACGGTTGGCTAGACCCCTGCGCAGGTCCATCAAGTTTGAACAAACGAGCAGTGTGACGGCCGAGACTGGAGGGATTTGGTAGAGGATGACGGCTAGTGCTGCGCCGCGAGAAGTGCTCAAATTGGGGGGTCGTATGGACCGAGACGCATGCTCTGACCTTGGGCGTTGAGTGGGTGCAGGTGGCGGCTGTCAGTCGTCCGCACACACGCACTCGAGGTGCAGAGGACGGGGACAATCGAACGGTCTTGGCACTGGTTTTGGCACTGAAGATTTCTTTTCCGCGTGTAACGCGAGGGCTTTGGAGGATTTACACAGTGGCATACATCTCGTTCCGAAACGAACATCGCTCCATGTCTCCAAAGAAAAAGAATCAAGCTGCTGAATACTCGCACATCTTCGCCACCTTCGATACTCGCGCGCTAGCAAAATCATGCACCCTTTTCCAGACGCAAGCCGCAATCCACGAGCCGACAAGACGAATCTCAGTCTACGATCTCGCATGCACCATTCCGCGACTCTACGTAGTATCTCAAACTCCTATCCCATCTCGGCACCGTGTGCGGACGTCCGCCTGCCGCACGTCCACCACTCTTTTCCATTCTCTTGACTACACACCTTACCCAAGATAATGATCACATCATGTCTTGATCCCCGCACCTTCGAAATCTTGACGTCTCTCACCCCATGTCTTTCAAACACCCTTTTCCTTCCATTGTCCATTTG